TCGATTTATATGGTGTTTGAACTTATTTTAACTAGAAGAATCACATTAGTATTATTTTATTTAAAGATAATATAGAAATTCAGGAACAAACATTTGTTCTAACGATGTCTAAATTGAAAAGTTGAAATTTATCCGTTGTTGCTTAACATACCGTATCTATTTTGTTTCCTCTTATTGTATCTCTTCTCCTTTAAACTTGTCTGAGTTACCTTCGATTCCGATGATTTTTAAATATGTTATTACAAGGGACAGTATTTTGAACAAGTTTTTCCTCTACCAATTATGGTAAGTTCGGCCTTAGTTTCTGAGATATTTGCAAAGAAATCTTTTCACACTATACAATAGAATACCATCTATATGCGTGCTTTTATAATGTATTTAAGAATCATGGAAATCGGAAGTAACTCAATACATCGACTAGTTTACCTCATATTTTAGTTCAATTATAAGTAAATACATAGAATTTTTTCTCATTATTAATAAATGCTAATTATCTGCCTGCACATGTTACCTCGTAGTAATTTTAATTCGCAAGAAGTTTCACATCACGGAAACATTCTAAAATAGCAAGAGATTAGAGATCCGATCTGTTTAGAAATAAACATTTATGTTACCACAATACCAGCGAAATTTTCGAAGAAACTTATGGAATGGATAAATGACTTTCTTTTATATCACTGCACTATTCAAAGCACAATTTTAAAGAAAAATTCTAGATTCAGTGAATATCTGTGATCAAATATTCCATTTTTACGCGAAATGTTTCCATCCCATTCTGTTTCATTTACTTTCTGCGTTACGCGTTTCTACCGATTGTCAATTTACTACGATACAGCTAATCATGTTCTGTGTTATTTCCTGGGCGGCCTATGGTAGATATATCATGAGAAATAGTTCCAACTAATGCTTTGCTTTTGTGGCGAAGGTAATTTTTTGGAAACAATATATATGTGTCAGTGATGAGTAACCCGTGACTTTCTGACCGTATACAACTCTTCAACTACTTATTTGCGGCTTGCCGAAATATTGATACCTCATTTGGTCTTCATCTGACTGAAATCAAAGTTAACCATTAACCACTAATAACGTGGTTAAAGTTACACCAGGTATAAGCTATGGTTTGTAGAGAATCTTAAATTTTCAAATTTAGTATATTATAGAAAGTCGCTCATCACTGATGTGTACCCTCTTAATGAGGATAAATATACCGTATGCGTGGGGACGTTGTGTTGGATAAGAAACTTTGTTCGTAAATTTAACTTAAAAAGTTTTAAAGTGATATTTGCAGTCAGAAGAAGTTTAAATCATTTAATGATAATAAATATTATTTTAGATATTTATAATATTTAAAATAACTTTGAGTGAATTGATTAAATAGTGGGATAATTTAGTAATTTGTTAGTCACAAATGTTATGTTTGACATGTTTTTCCACACTTTTGAAGTATTCTAGATAATTTATATACGAGTTGCATAAAAGTAGGGAATATATATACGTGCCTCTCTAGTAAAGACTATATACATTATCTTTACCATAAGAACAATTATTTCCTCTTTCAGACACGTCAGCTTATTAATTTTCATGGCGTAAACGAATATTTGAATAATGTGTAGCTTATAATTTTAGTATTTTGGTCTGAAGTGAATCTCAAACGAATAGCCCAGTTTACACCAAATTTACCTACCAAATTTTCACCTTTCTGTCTGTCTGTCTGTCTGTCTGTCTGTCTCTGTCTCTGTCTCTGTCTCTGTCTCTGTCT